TTGAAATTTTTAGAGCAAGCAAGAAGAATTGCTAGAGTTTGTTGAAGAGGTATTTTAACCAATTTTTCTCTTACTTTTTTTGCTTAAAAAGGGGGGAATCTGACTTTTTAGAATGAATATTATTTAGCACAGTGGTTTGTACACCAAACTCTGGACTGAGGGGTATGGGTTTGAACTTTGAATAACTCTTTACACTCTAACATCAGTATGCATAATCTCCATACTGTTCTCTATACATTTCCTAGGGTGCTGAATGGGAGAATATGTATAATAATCAATAGTTTCTTTTGTTGGTTATCATTTCCTTCATTCATGTGACCCTATTATTTGAACTAAAATATATTTTCACAAAAAAACTACACCACAATTATTTGAACATACTGGGCTACAAAATACGAAAGTAGGAGTGAAAGCAAATTTTGGGTGGCTTGCCACTGTTTAGCTGATGCATGCTGACATAAGCTCTTAAATACTTCATATAGAGACACTCATTTGCAGTTGCAGAAAACAATCGTGTTGTGAAGCTGAAATGTTAACAGTTTACTTCGCGAAATAAAGTGTTAAGCAATATTTCAAAAGGGTTGATTAAACACATCTTTTACTGCTGTAATAAACAACGGAGGTATCGGAAGAGGCACTAAGGAGAAAAATATGAGAAAATTCAGATTCCATCTTCAAAATTCGAGTGACTATCTCACTTTCCTAGTCTGGTTGCAGATTCCCCACCAATCTAACTCTTTTTCAACAGTTATTCGCAAATTTCATTCAACCACATCGACTGACGAAGACAGCAATAAGACAGTGGAAAAGTCGCGATCTCAGTAAGTTGATAATGACTTCTAATCATAAGACAAACGATTCAAAGTTTATTTACTGTATTATAACCACGCTTTACAAACTCGTCTATGGCAGCAACTTTCCTTTCAAAACGAGAATTGATGTTACGAAAATTCGTTTTTCGCATGTTTTATGAAGGTCACACCTGGAAACTCAACTCCTTGAAGAATG